TACTTATAGTAGATGTTTATTCATGCTATTGTTTTTCTAAAACTATCATGGTTCACATAGCTTGTAATCAATGTTTTTGATAACTCAAATCATCGGACAATAGACCCGCAACTTAGATCTATTTACAAAAGAATGCTATTCTCCCTTTTTTGCACTAAACTGAAGCAAAAATTTATTGTGGAACAATTTTAAAGTTCTTTATCTAAAATCCAGATTGTGTATTATACAATTAAGTGATACTTCATGCTTATAGTGCAAGTGTGCCAACCTGTGGTGTCATACTACATATCTACATATCCTCAGATGGCTCAAAGGAATTTAGATATACTACTTATGTATTATTGTAAAACAATGAAGTTTAAAATAAACTACTTTAAATTACACACGCTATAGAGAAATAAGCATTAGATTTATATGCATGCAAGAATTTGTTAAGATATCACTTGCAGACTAGATCTATTATCATTCTTGAAAACTTACTGAAGTAGATCTATAGTAGACTATTATTGGAACTGTGAATAAGCCCAGCACCACAATAAGAAGAACAATAAAAACAGCATCCTCGATTTTCTTTGCAATGGCCAACTTCATTCTTTTACTGTGCACCTTGTGATGCACAGTTGATGTACTGTCTGTGATATTTATAATTTCTTTTGTGGTCTAGCCCCTCCCCAAGTAAAATAGGTCGTGACGTCACTATTTGTACAATGTGTACATACAGGCACACCTTTCATCAATATATAATGTTAGTTTATTTGCTGACAGTGTAGTTTTAGTATTTAAGGTTATGCTGTAGTACAAGAACATTGATGCATGTATTGAAAATGTAAAAAAATTGTGGGTGCTTTTGGAGCAATTTGGGTATTCAGAATTTTGGCATTTCTTAAAATGGTCGTAACTCAAAAAATTGAAGTCAGAATCAACTCAAACTTTCTACACAGTATAAGGGCATTAATGTGTATGAGAGAATATCATTAAAATTAGGGTTATTTTGAAGCCATTTTTTGGAAAACCAGGCATTGCTATCAATGTACTGGACTCGGCAGTTGATGAGAATGACCCATTATTGATTTAAAAAACTTTAAAAGTTATTGTTTGGCCTAATTCAACATTTTACAT